AGAGAGAGAGAGAGAGAGAGAGAGAGAGAGAGAGAGAGAGAGAGAGAGAGAGAGAGAGAGAGAGAGAGAGAGTATGTAGAGTTTCAGAGAGATGGAAGAAGAGATGATTGAAACCTATGATATGATATGGTTTTATAAAAAAGAGGTATGGTAAGATGAAGAACCATGAGAATTAAGAGCACTATGAGTTGCAGAAAAATGTTCTTTTTTTTTTGTGTAGTTTGGTTATATGTATTGAATCTCTCATGCAAGGAATTTCTGTCTGTAATGTGTTTGAAAAATGTATTTCTCGTTGGACCTAAACATGTCTCTCGTCTACCTGAACATGTGTCACATAAACCTGAGCATGTCTTACATAAAATAGAACAAGTCTTGCATAAACTGCTCCATCCTCTTTCCTCTCTATTTCAAACTCACTTTCATAATCTGCTTCATCTCCTTTCCTCTCTATTTCAAAATGTGTCTCAGAATCAATTTCGTTTGCCTCATATTTGTCATTATAAATCACCCATCAACACACAAAGAAAACAAATTACATCTCGTTACTATCTCATAAACAAAATACTCTTAAGCTAGCATAGCAAGAAAATATAGGTCAGACTCCTCTGTAATACCATCTCGAGCTTGAAGCTCACTTGTACCAGAAATCAAAGTAACGTGTCCATGCTTCTCCAGATAAGCTCTCTGTCTAGAAGTTGAAGCTTTTCCCTTTCTTCTCTCTCTCAGACTCTCTCGTTTCCATCTTTGTTTCCTCTCGCTCTCTCAGCTTCTCTCGTCTCTGATTCTTCTCTCTCTCAGTCTCTGTCGTCCCGTTTCTTCTCTCTTTCCCAGACTCTAGTCTCCATCTCTGTTTTTCTCTCTCTCAACTCTCTCCTCTCCACCTCTCTTTTTCTTTTCCCTTTATTAGATTCTGTCATCTCCATCTTCGTTTCTTGTCTCTGTCCCAATCAATTTCGTTTTAAGAAGTCGGGTCGGATCGCAAAATGTGATTAACTATATAATCGCGTTTTAGACCTTAAATACTGATTTGAACTTTTTCGATTACAGAGGTTTAATTGTGCAGAGCTTATATGATTAGGGGTTAATATGAAGCAATTTATATGTCCAGGGGGTTTAGTAAAGAGATTAGTAGTTTAGGTGGGAATAAGTAGGGTTTAAGTTATACAGAGGGGAATAGGCAGTCAACTCATCTCCCAATGATAAATTAATTTAGACATTAGGGTTTAGAGTTAAGGGGTGTGATTTAGGGTTTATGGTTAAGAGTTTAGGGTTTAGGGTTTAGTATTTAGGTTTTAGGGTTTGTGGGAACCGAAATTCACCTACGGTCAATAAATCGTAAATAAGGAAACTCTGAGTAAACCCTAACTTTTCAGAGGACCCGACTATCTGCAGAACCGCACAACGATAATTAAGAAAACGATGAACTTAAAATTAAAGTATGAATGAGCGAAATAGAGAGCAAGAAGGTTTTTATTCCGAATCGGTGTAAAAACTGCTACAACGAGAGTGGCCTTAGCTGCGTGAGTCGTCGGTGAAATCCCTAACTCTAGAAGTCTAAGACTGAAAACCCTAGTTGAGACGCAACTCGCTAACAGAAAACAGAAATATTCCTAAATGCTAAATTTGGTGGTGAAAGCTCTGAAAATCGTGTCCTTGCTTTTGCCCTATGCCTCTTGCTTATATACTCCCCTCCTAGGCGGTTTTAGCCTTTCCATTTCGCCCAAATTCGAGTTTATCGGGAATCTTCCATTTTTCTTGATCCTTCCTTTTTTCCTGCGAAAATCTTCTATTTATCTCCAAACTTGCCATTTATCTTCAAATTTGACATTTATCTTCCTTCTGCGAGTAAACAATCAAAATGTTATTGTATCTTCGGGTTAGATTTCGTTAAGATCGCGAGATGGGCTTTTATCGCGTTTTAAGACCTTTCGGGCTGTTTTACGATAAATCCGTTTTACGACTTTATACGAGATCGTTTCCTGATCCGATGCCGTTTTTAGTAAACTCCCCGAGTTAATCGTAAAGTTTAGCTACGTTCGTTTCTCGGTTAATCGTTGCCGTTTTTTACGATTTTCTCGACGTTTTTATTAAAATCGCGTTTTCTATGATTTTAACGAAAAATCTTGAATAAATCGTATAGCTTAGGCAACGTTCGGTGTCTCGTTTAATCGTTTCTGTTTTATACGATTTCCTCGAGTTCTTTTCGTGAAAACAAAGTTTTGCGGTTTTTATCGTAAAACTCGAATGATAGGTCAGATCGAGACGAAACGAGAGACATTTCGACCGTGGTTTGGAACACGACCGTGTCGAAGGACGTAAGCATTGAATCGGGGATGCGGGATATCGAGGCTCGGGATGGTCGGTTCGACGCACGGCTAACCGAGCCGGACCGGTCCAGCTCGCCGGTCAGCGAACTGTCTGGGACGAGGCTAGTTCGCCGTTGGGCGAACTAGTCGGAAAGAGACTAGTTCGCGGTTTACGGCGGTTTCGTGCTTATCTCGGACGATCATGTAATCGACGTTTGTTCCATTTTTCTGAGATAAAGATCTTCCGATTTTTTCGCGGATTCCCTTTGTTCGGAAATTTCTTTTATAAAAGGATTCTTCGAGTTTTATAAAACGATTTCTCAAGTTTTAAAAATGATTTCTCGATTTTTATAAAACGATTCTCGATTTTTATAAAACGATTTCCCGAGTTTTACAAAACGATTCCTCGAGTTTTATAAAACGATTTCTTAAATTTTATAAAACGATTCTTGAGTTTTATAAAACGAATCCTTAAGTTTTATAAAACGATTCTCGAGTTTTATAAAATGATGTGTCGCTGGAAAAGCTGGTCAACGGTTTTTGAATAGGTTCCATTTCCGAGAGTTCTATTCCCATACGTGCTAATGTGTTGCGGAAGATCACGTTGACGGTACTTCCGGTATCGACCAGGATTCGAGCAACCTCTAAATCGCTTATCACTAAGTCGATGACAAGGGGATCGGCATGAGGCTGGTCGATACCGCCGGTTTCAGCGTCGTCGAATGAGATTACCCCTTTTAGAGTGTCATCAGACGGCACCTTCCAACTCGAGCCGGTTTCGGCTTTGCGTTGGTAGGATTTGATAGACGAGACGGTGTCGTTGTAATATTGCAATTCACCGATAATCATGTTGATTTTTCGGCGGTTAGAGTCGTTGCCTTTCTCGTCTTGCCTTCATCCATATTTTTCGCCCGACTGGTTCCTTGAGGCGGAGTTTCCGCTCGCGAGTTCCTGTTGTTTTTCGGGAGGCGGTCTGAGTCGCGGATGAGATCCTTGACGCTGGATATCTCAGAGAGTTCTCCCGCGATCAGTTTTGCGGTAAGCCTGGCGCCGAGAACTTTACAGTTCACGGTAGAGTGTCCACGGGTTTGGTGGAGGTCGCCAAAGTATTCTCACCGTAATTCAAATTTCTCGTCCACGTGTCACCCGTAGTTCGTCCTTGTTCTGATCCGGAATTAATGGCGTAGTTATGCGCCCCTTGGAGATCCTGTCCCTCGTGATGGACGAACTTGTCGTTACGAGAGTTCTTCTTTTTCTGCTTCTGCTCGGACGCGTTATCCAATGCGGATGTTTTCGTCGGCTTATGATTTTCGGACAGGATTTTAGTCTCCTCCTCGATGGTTATATAATCGGTAGCCTTATGGAGCGCGTCTTGGATCGTCCGCGGTTTCTCGAGAGTTATCCATTTGTGGAATTTTGATTTGAACCAGAGCGATTTCCTTAACGCGTCGATGGCGGCTTTGTCGCTGATTCCGCTAACCCTAGCCATGACGAGTTTGAATCTACTCATGAAATCGTGGAGAGATTCGTCCTCCTTTTACGACAAGCTCCAGAGATCAGCGTCGGAGGTTTCCGGGTGTATGAACATCGAGTACTGCTTCAGGAATCCGGAGGCGAGTTGGTGGAAACTTCCGATCGAATTCCGCTTAAGTTTGGCAAACCACTCGAGCGCCGCTCCTTCTAGATTTTCAACGAAAAGACGGCAGTAACCCGCGTCCTTTTCGTGATCCTTGAGTTTGGCTCATCCCATGGTGATCTAGAAGGCCTGTAGGTGCGCTTTGGGATCAGACGTCTCATCGTAAGTCGGCACCTTAAGTTTCCCGGGATCGGGCAGCTTAACCTCGGTGATGCGAGCCGTGAAGGGCGTTTTCCGAGATTCGTACAGTCGCCGA